TACAAGCGACTTTAAAAGGGCGGACATTACGCCAGGGCAAAGGAGGCACGCGCAAGCGAGACTGCCCCGGGGCCGTGTTGCTGCTATCAGTGGGGTCACGCTGAGGACAGATGCACGGGCGCGCGTAAGCGAGCGTGCGCGCGCACGGCCACTTGTGGAAAGCCAATGGAAAGCAATGACTACTGGCCCTTGAATAGCGAGGCTGCGAGCAGAACGAGACTCTGTAGCCCTAGACGAGAGACTGCTGCCGAGACGAGACCGACCACAGAACACAAGCTGCTGGACACACAGGAACAGAGCTGATGTACTAGTACAACTGACAGTAAAGTACTATCTGTTATCCTGTTCTGCCTTCTCTTCCTAACACGTAACTGGGGAACATAACCAGTGTTGACACAGGAACACATTAGGTTACAACACACATAATTAAAGTGCTCGAACAGAATCCTTCTTCCGTACTGATACGTGCACTTGAGAGGACATACTATCCTCCACTCACTTCAGTCTTATTAAGTGAAAGATAGGTTAAGGTCTTTAGTCTGGCTATTGGTTAATAAGTTTACATTAATTTGCCAAGTATAAAAATACAACGGAAAAGTGAAAAACTGTTTAACTTCACTTTAATTCATGGGTGAAGCTTGCACCGTCAAACTGAAATGGCGTTAATCAATCAAAAGTAGTCGAAAACGGATACATTTTCTAACTAGCCAACCAGAGCAAATCAGTGTGTTGATTAGCTGACCAGCGTTCACTCCTCCCGATGGGATAAATCCAACCTGCTTTCCTGATGAGATTATGGCTGCCAGCAGATTCCGTAGGCCACAGCCGAGTACTGCTACTCTGCCTCCACTATTTAATTCATAATAATGAGAGCTAAATTACGTTCATAGCCTAACTTACGGGATTTGGGACGATGGGATTATCGTAGTCGTCCTGTTGCGCATTCATAGACGGATACTGGTATTCGTTTATCGCATTTTGACGCTCGGATTGCAGGTAGGACTGAGAGGACGAACGCCGCTGGACGCTGTTCTGTTGTTCGTACTGTGTCGTGGTTCGGCCAGAGGCTCTTGACTTGTGGCCTAGGGACTGAGAGTTTGGGCTGTTGTCAGCCTGGCTAGGCTGTCGGGGTAGGCTTGAGCTGTTACAATTTTTCTGTGTCATTTCCTCAACTTGACGAATGATTTCTCGCACTGAGGGCAGCGCCTCAGAATCCTCATCGTCATCCTGAAATGTAACAGGCATGGTGCAGAGCATTAAACATATTTGTGGTCCTGTTGCATGCAGGTGTTCCACAAACAGCTGAAGCATGCAGGGTAGGAAGAAGTAAGAAGATATTGGTGAGCGTGAGTGAATCTAAAATGACTGGGAAAAGGTTAGGGATGGTCGGATATGTCGCCCCACCTCGTTTTTACTTCTATGAAATACCTATCTACCCAAAGTCCCTGGGTCAGCGCTTGCTAGCAACAGCAGAAGCAATCGTGATCCGGTTGAGGAAGCCGTTTTTGTGTGCGCAAAAGAACCTCCTGCATGGCCAACGGTTACATGAACGCCTGCATCTTTTCGCGCTTTCTCCCCCTTCCACCCTCCCCCTGCCCGGGTTCAACCAGCCCTCATTGCCTCGAAACCAGCCGAGTACCATCAACCCCACCCCCTCCCCTATTCCTATGACTAATTTGCCTGACACGGTGAGCATAGTTGCCAGCATGTTATTTTTTCTCCCCCCCTATATATATTTATCGAAAACTACGTATGCTCGTCAGATATTCTTCTAAATACCTACTCGTATCATTTTCGTTGTCCTATTTTAACCCTCTTACCTTTCGCTCATTCTTGTTACGCTTCCCTCAACTACAGTTAGCGGTTGGCGTTCATTGGCTAGGATAAAGGTGAGGTTTAAGG